TGTTTAATGTAAAAAATTGAGTTCAGCTTTAATAAGTTGATATGTTCAGACTTGATAGGTTATTTCGTATATGAAGAATTTCGTAAAATAGTTAAAACGCGTGTTAGTTAAGCGAAAGCTTAAAAAATCGCCATTTTGTAAAATATTATTTTTTAAGCCCGTGAGCGTATTACATTTTTTAAATTGTTTCCTTCTTGTCCGTCCGAAGACGAACTGCTTTATCTCGGATAAAGCAACTAAGCCTAAAGTGCCTCACAGAGGGTCAAAATGCATGACATCAAAATCGTGTACGTGTACATGAAGCTTTCAGTGCACATGGTTCATTCATTCATTTCGCTTCCGATTTCGTGCTGTACATACAATGTCGATAACGGACGAAGCCGTTTTTGCAGATTTTGACCGCGTGCTTAAAAACAAAAGAAAATGAAAACATAAAAAAGAGAAATAAAAAAATGAAATGAATTCATGCTTGAAAAATTATTAATTAAGAGTGATTTTAAATTTTTTGTAAGAATGGATCGTTCCACTTACGAGGAATTTCTAAACAAATATTAACGACCAAAAGTCGTGAATACTTGTTTTTGGTCACATCGACATTTAATTTTCTTTGTAATGAAAACATGTGTTAATATAGTTTTAACGGTCAGAAGGCCCCCTACCGATAACACCATAAACTATGCATCCAGAAATTGGAACCCCTGGCGGCAAAAGTCCACACTAAAAGTTATTAATCCGATTAAAAGTAAATACCATGTTAGTGATAAGCCCGCCACCAACAGGTATAAAAGGAGGAGCGTTGGTGATAATCGGGGCAGTGGTCTGGTTGAGTGGGGAGTCGTTACTCCCTTTCATCGGGCTGCACTGTTCCTGCTGCCGCCAACATTCAAGTGCCGTTACTATCATCGGGCTGCACCGTTTGCGGACTAAATAGAGACTGAAAATTCGGAAACATCGCTGAAATTCGTTTGACATCTTGGAACAGCCGACTGGGTCTCTAGGTCGAACGTTTCAACGGATTGCTCTGTTTCTTCAACTCTACGTTGTATCGGTTCATCTTCTCGTTCAGTTAAGGCTGGAACCGGTGATCGATTCCCATATGGCACCAACAACTGGATGGTTACGATCCGCTCAAAACATTTGCATCCTAAATATCGATACTGTAGGCCCGTTTGCTTTATGAAACCAAGTCATTTCCTTGGCGATAATCTTCATCATCAGAATCTGTTGACGTCTGGTCAGAGGAAAGTCGTAATGACGGTGAACGCAGCACCGCTAGTTTGACAGCAAAACTATCTATGGCCCTGGACTGTGGATGTAGTCGTAGTAGCACATTTTCTCCAATGTTTGGCTTCCACAAATGCCTTCGAAGGTTATAATGCCTTTTTTACGCCGGACGGTGGAGAATATATATTTCAATTTGTCAGCTCGGTCCTCCGGTCGAACTACCCTTCCGCCGGTTCCCGTGATGACCTGGTCATATAAAGCGCAGGTTAATATCCAGTAGATTCGGAAGCGCTAGTGTTTATCGCGAGCATTATCTCTAGCATTATTTATTATGCCTTTGATTGGAAACTTGGGCAATCATAGTTTTTACCATTTTATTATTTTCTGTTCTGTTTGCTCTCTATGTTGGGTTACCTTGTGGGATATACGGGCAGTGGTTTGATGTTGAATACCCATGTCTCCAAGAAATTGTCCAAACTCTTTGTTCCCCATTATCGGTAATTATCATCTTCGGAACTCTATACCGCGTGCTGACTTGATGAAGATGAAGAAGAGGCGAGTCAATGACGAGGTTGTAATATATACAGATTATCATAAGGTGAGTTTATTGTTTTGGTGGACATTAGTGAGTCAGAAGTAATGAGAAATAAGAAACAAAAACGCAATATTTTATAGAAAATATTAAGCTTATAAAATGTAAGCAATTAGATAAAGATAAAAAGAGGTTATAAAGATAAAAAGAGGATAATTTCATTTTTCAAATTGATCATACCTGCAGGGACAGAAATAAATGCCCAAAGCGAAAAAAGGAGATTGAAACAAATAAGTATTGTGTAGCAAAAACAACAGATTCGAGATCTTATGGGGCGATTGCAACTTTTCAGAAGTGGGAGCAATAATAAGCAAAGAGATCCACAGGAAGTAACATCTAAATTGGACGATTATGTTAATGACATTTTGACACCGTATACCTACATTTCGGTTGCTAAGAAGCCCAAAAACATATATGCATAAGTCAGGAGTGCAAATGATAAAAATTATGTTGCTTTGTTTTCTAGACCGAGGTGGTGGCAAATGGTGAATTTTATGCACATCCAAAAGGCACTGGAACTCTTGAAAGCAGAAACTGGTCTGGTATGTAAAAATTATGAAAAAAGAAATCTTCAAAAAGCACAAGGCCTCGCAAGGTTCAGTTTTGGACCTGTCATTTGTCTTCTGCCATAACAGGAGAAGTAACAGTGGCAACCATGGATCTTAAGTCTAGCGGAGGACAAAATATTGGTGGAATGAAGAACTGACAATAGCTTATAGAAGACAGCTTGAAGCGGTGAAAAAATCGAGAGAGTATCCAAGTTATAACTTGGAGAAAACAACAGAATAATTGAGACATGGAAACAAATTGCGCAGAGAGCGAAAACTAATAGCTTTTATGAAAAGACTGAAGAAGTTAATGTCAATGAAACACATGGAGGTTCCAAAGTAATGTCAGAAAAATAAATGACACGATACACAGTACATGGAATCACTACAGGTTACAGTCAATAATTTCATTCTTACAACAGAAGAGAGGAGAGACTAGGTGGTATATTGTGAATTTGAGCACTCTGAGATGATCCTATTTGGCAATAGCAAGGTTTCTACTTTTGAACATGACAAAAGAAGGGCTCTGCCACTCATAACAAAACGCTATATGTATTATGTGTTTGTGGAAAATGAGATGAAGCAGTCATGGAGAATAGCCAAAATCGTTCATATTCCAAAACGAAATTCGGATTTACAACAACTTGAGAATTTCTAATCCATCTCTCTTATTTCTGTTTTTGTGTAATGTACTAACCTCATACTAAAAGGGATTTTTAGTATATCATCTGAATAAGTAAAATATCTGATTTTTTTACACAACATGATGTTTTATATAGCGAACAATTCTGCATGATTAACTCAAAAATTATATATCCCGTCTTGCAGCAAATTAGCTATATAAAGGATATAAAGATACAGTAAGTGAATAAGTTCATATTCTTAGGAAGAATCATTACGAGTTCCCGAACAGCAAAACATATCATTATAAACATGTAAGTGAAGAGTTAAAAGGAAGCAGTATTTTGCTCAAATGCTTGACGACGGTGAGATGAGGCCTTCACCCGAAACTGTCTAGAATATTATTATATGGAATACCTATAACATCAAGTGGTTATATGAAATAATAGCAGAAAATCCTAGTAAAGTCCAGCTATAGCGTAACCTTTAACGAATTTGACGATATCTTCGAAGGAATCGACATTATTCCTTATGTATATTGAAGTAAAGTAACTACCAGAACGAATACCCTAATTTTACGAATCAGAACATGTCTATGGATTTAATACATGCTATAACTGTGAGCTGGAGTTCTATACAAGTAGCACTTCACAATGTTTGCACCTGATACAAGGGTTGGATGTGATATCACATGTTTTGGTACCTATAATGTATCAAATAATGATAGAAACCTCTTCAAATTTTATATTATGTCCTCGTTCGCGAGCTTTATGTAATGAAAAAGGCGCTTGAAATTGCGGAGAATGATTATGATAATCATGGCCATCCGTGACATCACAAGATGATGTTGAGCCCAATCAATAGACCTGAGTCGCATAAGTGAACCAAATATCCAACAATTTACAAATATAACAATATAAGAAACTATTTCGCTGTAATTCCGATCCTAATCCAATTCCAACCTGTGATATTAGACTTTATTTAAGGGAACCATAAGGTGAAGTGTATATTAAATTTGTCATTCTGTTTGCAACACCACGAAATAACCGTCGAAGACTCCATATTGTATATATTCTTGATCAGAATAAAATTCTATGTTGATTTAGTTATGTCCGTCTATTTTAATCACGATAGAGATCGCAATAATTAAAAGGGCTTTTGCACATACATTGCAATTACTGCTGGGAAGTTTGGTATAGAAAATGGTAATTTGTAATTTGGGTAGTCATTTGGTAACACATCTTCCTATGTTGTAATTTTTTACGATATCCCCTGTAAAATGTGGGTTTTGATCCCAATTTTCTGTAATTTCTTTATGACACAGCCCGAGTTATAAATCTCAGTTTACAATTTTTCCGATCCGCAACCAATTTGTATATGGCAATATTGTACTCTAAAACGGCATATACATTAGAACTTTTTACCTGGTTAACCTACTTTATGAGGATTTATTTGACATATATACAAAGGAATTGACAATTGAAACACACTGGGTTAACGAAACCCGGTTAGTTGTCGGCAATATGTAGATGAGTGAACATATTTTCGCTGTTTTCGCAGTGCCATTGTAAACTTTTAATTTTTTATTTGTTTGCAAAAACTAGAAAAGTGTGCAGCAGTTCATATTTTTGACATTTAAATTACGCAATCATTAAAGTATCACCCTTTCAGTTATTTATCTACAACTAATGCACACGTTTTCCAACACTGAACACACAAAGCTTTTCTATGCCACAAAAAAGCTTTTTCCCGTCAAGACGAACAATTACGACGCTTATTTTTAGTTGATATTTTCCAGCAATTCAAAACAGTACTTTCTGGTGCAGTCTGGTCCCTTGTACGCCATCATTAGATAAGAAGTGGATAACATTTCTGTTATTTGCTGTAGATTCTGATTGAATTACCGAAAAAAAAGAAAACTGCATCGCGTTTTAGTACCTCATTACTGTCGTTTTGTTCCCGAGAATTGTGAAATTCATCGGACGTTGGTTGCCTCTTTGTTGTTTGCGCCCTCACCAAAACAATGAATAGTTTCTGCGGTTTTCGTTTGTCCACTGTGGGCATTGTCATCGGTTGGTTCAATTTAATTGGTTCCATATTTTCGACTATCGTGCTCTGTGTGGCCTTTACCCGTTTGGATGATTTGGTGAAGCTTATTCAGGACAATATCGATAACACTACGAATGCTGTCGATGATGTGGGCATAAGGACCGGTAAGTTGCGGAATGTCAGCGACCTTTAAGTTATCTTGGAATTCTGCAATAATGTAAATATTTGCATTATGTTTTCTTTCTTTTTTTCATTCTCTCGCTTCCAGCTGTTATCATTACTTTGTGCGTTTACCTGACCACCAGTGTGACAAATGTAATTGCATCTTCGCTGTTGATTGTGGGCACAGTTAAGGTATGTATCGTCGTTGTTGTTGTTTGTTATGATATTGGGTTGGGGAGACGTGTGCATAATCAGCCAAAACACAAATCTGATGATATAGAAATTTTATTTAATTTTATTTGTGAATTCGTTGCATATGGGTTTGTGCGCATTTTCTTTTATGACTTTTATCTTCTTTGGGTCTTGTTCACACTTCAAAAGCGTGTTGACTTAGCTACACAAGGAGAACGGAGTTGGAAATTTATACGACGCATATTTAGACATTTGTAACAAACCGGCAACATATGTAAAAGCAATTTAAAGGTTATTTACACTGTGCGATTTGTAATAGTTATGGTTATTTTTTCACCCACTATGATAAAATGTTTTGTCACTCCGTTTGCACACACCTCATCAGAATAAAATTCTATGTCGATTTATTCTTGGCCGTCTGTGTGAAATAGCACTGAAATTTTGCACTGTACCCCCAAATATTCGGTATTTTAAACACGTTTTTCAACTGAATTGACTGTAATTTGGCATTTTATGTTCTCATTCAATAATACATATCCGTATCAAAAATTATTAATATTGGCCCAGGTTTCAGTGTACCGCCCAATTTTCGATATCTTGGGGTTTTTGAGCACGTTTTTCAACCGAATTCGTGGAAATTTGGTACCAAAGAGTCTTCTTGGTACCAAATTTCTCCACTAAAATTAATAAATATAGGTCAATTTTTTGGGTAGTCTCCATATAAAGGCACCCCCAATTTTCGGTATTTTTGGGTTCTTGAGCGCGGGTTTCAACGGAATTCGCTATAATTTGGTATGGTGTAGTCGCATATGGTAACAAATCTACCTACCAAAAAGTATTAATATTCGCATCCTTTTAAGGGTAGTTTCCATATAACCCCCTTCTTATATTAAAATAGTTAGCTGATTAGTTCCGTGTGTAGGGGTTGTCCCCATATAGTTTTTATCCGAAAAAGTATGGAATTCTAAGACGATTTAGCCATCAGTTGTAATCATTCCGCTTTCTAAGAAAATCGTGATAAAAAAACTCGAACCTGACGATAATGAAATATATCGACCAGCATTTAGGCATCTCCCCCATATAATTATACCTCCTGAAGGATAGAATTGAGACACAAAACAACAATATTGGGTTCGAAATGGACATATGTTTGTCATTACATATAATTATAACCCCAAATATTCGCTAATTCCTACACTATGTGATCTAAATTGCAGTAGTTTGAGGATTGTATATTCTACCATGCGTTATTAGTAGACCTCGGATTTTGCATATTTTTTAATAATGAAGATATCGAAATTCTGATTGGACACAAATTCGTTTCAAAGGATTTAGACTTATTTGAAGGGTTCATATTTTTTAATTTTTTGCATATTTGCATATTTTGCATATGCACGAGATATGCAAAATATGCTAGGTCGATATGCAAAATATATGCATAAAATATGCAAAATATATGTTAAAATATGCAAAAATATTAAAAAAATATGCACGGTATGCTAGGTCGATATGCGATAAATATGCAAGAATATGCAAAAAATATGCACGGTATGCTAGGTCGATATGCAATAAATATGCAAAATATGCAAAATATATGCAAACATATGCAAAATATGCCAAATATATGCAAAAAAATATGCACGGTATGCTAGGTCGGCATGCGAGAAATATGCAAAAAATATGAAAAATATAAGCAAAAATATGCAAAATATGTGCAAATATGAGCAACATATTTCACATATGCAATCATTTTAAACAAAAAAAAAAAATCATGGTAGTTTTCGAATTTGTGTGCATTCTTTATTTTTAACCTATAGAAATCTAATTGTGTATGTATGCGTTTCATGGTTCAACTGTTAGATTTTTGGGGCATTATGAAAAATTTGCTAAATATATGTATAAAACATGCAAACATATATAACCGTTATATGGCGATATACTAAAACGTGGACCGATATATCCCATTTCCAATACCAAACATCCTAGGAGTAATAATAATATATGTGCAAAATTTCAAAGTTCTATCTTTAATATTGCGACCTAGCATACCGTGCATATTTTTTGCATAATTTGCATATTTTTGTATATTTTGCATATGTTTGCATATTTTGCATATATTTTGCATATTTTTGCATATTTTTGCATATTTTGCATATGTTTGCATATTTTGCATATATTTTGCATATATTTTGCATATTTTTGCATATGTTTGCATATTTTTGCATATTTTGCATATCGACAATGCATATTTTGTATATTTTTTGCATATATTTATCGCATATCGACCCAGCATACCGTGCATATTTTGCATATTTTTTGCATATATTTTGCATATTTTTGACATGACCCCAAATATCGATCAATTAAAGCATGAAACGCCTAAATACAAAATTTGAGTCCAATCGGATAAAGCATAAAAAATATGCAAAAATCCGAGGTCTAGTTATTAGTATCAGTCCACGCGTTGTGGTTTTCATTAAAAATTGTTGAAAAGTGTATTTGGTGTACACAATGGTTTACATAAACCGGTTTGTAGAATTATCGGTATAGGTTCATTTTTGGATATCGTCCAAGTAGAGGGATGTTAGCTGAATAAAGGAAGCAATGTCTGTGCAGTAGTTAAATTTTATGTTGAGTTCGAATAAATTTCACCATGGTACATTGCAGCATAGCATGCCCTTACGCATCATTTTAATTCAAATAAAAATTCTACACAGTATGCGTGTTTTCAATCCGAACGATATGTGATTTGTGTTTGGGGTCGTTATCTTGCTAAAATGAGATTTCCATCTCCGACAGCGCTCATACATCCCCATACCAAGAGCCAACTCCGTGCTTTACGGTCGGAATTGTGTGCTTTTCAGTTCAACTGGTTTTCGGGTTGTTGCAAATCCGATTCTCGGTTTAGTGTTTCAATATGATATATATATATATATATATATTTTTTTTTTTTTTTTGACAACACATCGAGTATTTCCGCTATTTTCCTAGTTTAGCATGGTGAAGAACTTATATTCTCTCAGCAATCCTTGTGTGGCGTCCCATGATCTCAAATTCTCACGATGGCTATACAAATAAGCAAACTCACACGTAAAGTGTAAACAATTTCTTATCCAATATTTAACTTGATATTCCATGAGAAGATTGACTTTTAACCGTTATTAAGTTGTAAATAATACCAGTGGATAAAACAGTACTTTTCGCTTATAATCCATTACGCTTAAAGGCCAAAAACGGATGTAAACGACGAGATTACTATTTATTGACAAGATTTTTTCCCATTTCATACAAAGTATTTGTTCTGTTAAAGAATTTAAATTTATAATCTAACTTCAGTCAACGAAATTTGCTATTTATTTTTCTCAATGGGTAATGGAACTCCATTAAGAAATGTCAAAGCTATGTATATAATTTGGCATTGCTCCCATAAAACGGCGTCCTAGTTTTAAGGCATTTTGAAGATCCAAGCCCTAATTTCATGCGATATAATTGAAGGGAGCTCCAATGTAATGGGACCACCAGAATTATTAAATGTTGCCGACTTATGGAGGAGGATATAAACAGTTTCATCCGAACATAACATTTTAAATTGTGTTAATATCTATTAATATGCTGACATGACAAAGATGTATAAACCCGATCAATAATATATAATTTATCAGGTTATTTATTATCTACAACAGATATGACTACTTTCATACAAATGTGAACATCAAAATGAATTATAGGCCACCACTCGGTGTGCGTAATTTGTTTTGTCACAGTTCCAAAAAAAAAAAGTATTCCAGGAAGCGTATAGTGATTGTTCCTATTGTATATTTTCGAAATTTTGCAACTATCTATCAGTAAAGAAATATCTATCTCTAAATCTAAAATCTCACTGCTAAACCCATGGGATATTGATCAGTGAAAACCACTAAATGTGGCCCTATGAGACAGCCTCTTTTTAACATTAAGTGTATTGAAATTCGTTGACAATATTTTGTAGATGTCATTCAATAATGACACCTCCTAATTTTACTTTATAAATTCATATTGCAATTTCTGTCTTCTTCATTGGACGTAGAAACAAATTTATAAGGATACATTTTCTTATTTAACCGTTAAACTTGGAAATCTGCTAAGAAGAGGATTTTAAATCCTAGTGTGTTTTTTGATAAGAACTTCACATTTGCATAAGATTATGAAATTCTCATTTAATTGTGTTTACCCTTTCATTTGTTTATTTTTCACTCGTATTTTATGGAATGGTTTTTATTGTATTTTTAATAACTTTTCTTGCTTCCCTTTTTGCAGGAACGTCATCTTCTGTTGACACCTTGGTTGGTCAATGCCTACATTTTCATCTTTTTCAATGTCCTGAACTTCATATACATGATATATGTCGCTATTGCTAAGGGACTTCCAGTAGGCTCAACAATTGGAACACTCATTGGCACTGCACTGGGTTTGGGTAAGTAAAACCAAAGGAAAAAAAAACAGAAAAATGAATCATCATTATCGGCATAGTTATCAATCATGCATGTTGGGAGCCCGTCCGACATGCAGGGCAATGTGTTTTTCTACGATTTGCTATTATAAACAATTATTTATTTGCGGTGATTTACCCGATTTGTGTTCTGTTTTTTTTTACATTATCAATTATAATTTTATTATTTTTGCTTACGTTGCATATTTGTGTGTGTGTTGTTGTGTGCACATGAATTGTGATATATTGAGGTGGTACGGAAAGAATTTAATTAAGTGATCTGGATTTATAATTGGCTTGCAAGCTAAAATTATAATCTTCAACTTAAAATGCAAACTGTAATAATAGCTTGATAATTTCTATTAATAATAAGCAGAATAGATACGTATTGCAATATCTGAAAACAATAATTCAAAAGAAATACTATTTCGCATAAACTCTTAGCCTCACCCTTAAATCTCTAATATTATTTTAGTTGTTTTGGCGGTTTATTTGAGATACCATCTGTATTTTGTTTTTGCAAAATAGTCTTGTTAACCTCGAAGTGAGGCACCAGCGAAATTCTCATGCAGTTTATGTCGTTGGTCAGCTAAGTACTTCGCTTTGTTACAAGAGACTAAGGGAACTGATGAGGATCAGTGGCGTGATCCGAAACTATAGTCTTCCCTGCCTTACCCCTCGGCAAACAATGTCATACATTCTCCACTAATAAATAGTTGTTTTTTATAAAAACAACAAACTGGGATTCAGCCTGACTATTTTGCAAAAACAAGAATATTATTTTATTTACTTCATATCATAAACGATTCGATGTACTAAATTTCGAAGGACCACGTTTAAGATGGGGTAGTCAGACGTGGCACAGATTTGGCACAACTCATTTATTTGGCCCAAGGACAAATCCTATTGAAATTGGTAAAAATCGGTTCATATTTAGATATAGCTCCCATATATATTTCCGGCCGATTTAAGGTAAATGGTGCACCAAAGTCCCTGTATATCTTTCGATTTGCACGAAATTTGGCATAGCGTACTGAATTAGGCCTATAATAACGTACGTGAAGTTTCGTGAAAATCGGTTCAGATTAGATATAGCTACCATATATATTTTCATCCGATTTTACGTAAATGATGTACCAAAGCCTCTACATTTCTTTCGATTTGCACGAAATTTGGTATAGTGTACTGAATTAATTCTAGAATGATGTGTGTTAAGTTTCGTGAAGATCGGTTGAAATTTAGATGTAGCTCCCATATTTATTTTCGTCCGATTTAAGGTAAATGGTGCGCCAAAGTCCCTAAATATCTTTCGATTTGCACGAAATTTGGCATATCGGTTTAGATTTAATTATTGCTCACATATATATTTTCGTCCGATTTATGGTAAATGGTGCGTCAAAGTCCCTAAATATCTCTCAATATGCACGAAATTTTGCAAAGCATACCAAATTAAGTCTAGAATGATGGGTGCTGAGTTTCGTGGAAATCGGTTCAGATTTAGATATAGCTCCCACATATATTTTCGTACGATTTAATTTAAACAGTGAACAAAGTCTCTATTTACCATTCGATTTGCACGAAAAGCGTAATGACTTAAGTCTAGAATTATGTGTGTTAATTTTCCTGAAAATTGGTTCATATTTAGATATGTCTGCCACATATATCGACGCCTCCGAACCATAGTATGCTAAGTCGACTTAGCATGTTTTAAAGTACTACGGTCCTTAATTTATATTCTCTGAAATTTTAATAATCATCGGCCAATCCAAACCAAAGTTATAAGCAAAAATGTACTTAGCATGGCCCGTAAGATATATGAAACTTCCATACTTTGAGAGCTTCTACTGAAAAACATACTTTTCAGACTTAGCATACTATGGTTCGGAGGCGTCGATATATTTTCGTCCGATTTTAGGTAAATGGTGCACCAAACTCCTCCGATTGACACGAAATTTTGAACAACGTATCCAATTGAGTCTAGAATGATTTTTTTGTGATGGGTGCAGATGCAGTCATAGCTTCCATATATATTTCGAACGGATGTCTGATTGATATTGCCGAATAGTGTGTATCAAGTGTGCTATTAATCGATTTACACAAATTTGTCTCATTGAAATTTAGCATAGGTTGTAGGAAAGCATATGTATGGATGGAGGGTATCATATAGTCGGCCCAGACAGACTTTACTTACTGGTTTTTATTACTTTTCCTATAATTTAATTCCTTATATCCAAATCCAGTACCTATAAGAATTTTGTATACAATTGTCCAGAACATCTTTAGTGGGTTGTCGGTGTTATTATAATACAATATCAACAACAACACATCTTATCTATATAACTTTTGTTGACATACATCGTTAATGTTTATATGACTCAAGGCCCACAAAAACACACACAAACCATATTCGTATTAATTATTACATTTTATTTATTTTTTGTATTATCTTTTATAATAATTATTTTCCTTCGTCTTTTTCTTCTTCTTCCTTTTTTCACAGTGATTCAATTGATTATCTGGAATGCCATTTATTCGCTGTTCAAACAGATTCGTGCCAATCGTGATTTGCAACAACGTCTATTGCCAACCACTTCGGCTGCTCAATATCCCAACTATACCAAAATGCCGCCAACTGTTGAATAGACCTAAAGGAGGAGGACAGCATCTTTAATTTTTTATATAAATAAAATACAAAAACAAAATATCTAAAACAATCTCACGATAATGGACTGATCAACAATCAATGAAATCCGTTAACAATTTATCTTGGATAGTGTATAATACGCGTTTTGTATTATCATCCTCCCCCACGTCATAATCTTGGAACAAAATTCTTTCTACCAAAACATTTGGAGTATTCAAATTCATATGTGATGTTTTTTATAATTATAAATCATTATTAATTATATTAATATCTATATATATACATATTTACCAATTATATCCCGCCAATGATATATGTTATTAAAATATTTATATACAAAAAATAAAAAAAGGAAAAAACTTTTATTAATTCAAATACTATATATGTATACACCGAATTTTTTCGAAATAAAATTATTCGATTTTGAAGTTATCCAATACTATGTGTTTTGTTTATAATATTGAAATAATGGAAAATTGTGAAAAGTGATTAATAGTACAATGGTTAGTCAAAATTTCATTATTTAAACAGAATAGGGAAGAAAATGGAAAATCTGTTAACTTATTTGTGCATGTACGGAATTACGATTGGAAGAGGGTAGCCGGAGAGAATGTGCCTTCATGTAGGAGGATATTGGTTTAGGATTTAATTTGCCGTTTATTGTTTCGGAGACCGTCTGTTGATTCAGGGGGGTTACTCTGTATTGCGATGCGTGAGAAAAATTGTAACGCATCGCGTAATTGGTACTCTCCAAGGTATATTTAATAAGGTAGCCGCATCGGCCCAGCTGTTGGACAAATAAATGTCAAAAATGTTGTTGTAATGTTGAACCAAAAAATTAAAAAACAAAATTATAAATGAAAATCTCCGAATTTCGAAGAGCTTTTTTGGCAATACTTTTATTAACATTTTCTACAAGAATTTGTGTACAAAAATCTTGTCAATCTGTTTGTTTTGGCAAAATATTTTTGACATATCAAAATACAACAACCGATGTTTGTTGTAGAAATTCGCCGATGCGGCTACCTTGTATATCTACCTTGGTACTCTCTAATTCGATTTCGTATCTCCTTTCGCATCTAGTTTACGCAAATGTGGCATCACCGCAGTCTGTAATTCGAAAACGCATGTCAAACTCGTTCGTTAAGCGCAAATATCTTGCGTTAACAAAATAGCAAACGCAAAGGAAGCGAAACATATAAGTAAGCTCAATTAATTTTTTTATTTATATATAAATTGTAAATTTTTTTAAGTAAAAGGCAAAAAAGTCACAGTTGCAGACTCAGCAACGTCAGTTCCTAACTTATAGCCTAGACAGACGACAGCCTTAATTTGCATTAACAGCCTTAATTTAAATTAACTTGTACATTATCCTCATTTTTTTGTGTTGTAAATGCACAAAATCAAACTGAATTTATACTGAATTAAGCTATTTCAATATGGCAATGCTGTAGAAAATAAATTGATTGTTGTCAAATTTGTTTATGTTTACGAAAATAAAAATTAGAAATAAAGGCAAAATTCAACATTTCTTCAAATTTGGAGCTGTTTTATCTTCATTATAGCTGTTAGTTTTCCTTCCTGCCATGTATTAATTTCAAAAAGATGTAATCCTAAAAAATATTGTAAACAAATGTCAATATTTTCTTCCTACACACAGACAAACAATTGTTTTGAAACAGAAAACTGGTTCATAAATGAATAAACTCTCGTCTGTCAGGGGTAAATTTTAATTCAAATTAAGAACTTTTTAATGCAAATTAAGGCTGCCGTCTGTCTATGGTATTAAGTAGATATTATGGGGCAACACAGTGATTTGGCAAAGGGACCGTTGCAGAGTTCAAATGCGAAACAACGCGCCAACAATTTGTGGACAAAACTGTCTGATGACCTCAATTCAAATTGACCTCCTGTAAAAAATGTCGGTGGTTGGAAAAAGAAATGTATTATATTTTTTTATATGAAATGTGAAACTATGCGTGCATATTTACAGGTTGGTGTTGATAACCACCTTGTCCAAGCAATTTCAAAGCAGCGGTCTCTTTTATTGGAGTTGGAATTGTTGTGGATCTATTTGGAAAGACGCGCGTTTAATAAATACATAAACGAATCTTTATTGAGACGAACATTTTGTATAAATCTATAGAAATTAAATATTTGAAAACGTTTGTAACATAATTCTTACTTCTATTTTAATACCCGTGGTCACTTAGGGAGAATATATTTGATCGATCTCATAAAATTATTTTTTTGTTTTTAATTCGTTCATCATTTTTGTTTAAAAAAACACTCGTACCACACAAAAATATGTTTTCATTTAAAATTTTTTGACGTTTCCTTTCGTCATTCTTCGTTATTGTTTTCTTTGTGGCGACAGTGTTGCCCTATTTTCGATTTAGTTTGCGAATGCGTTTGCGTGAGCGTTACAGAGTACCAAATTGTACTCTTAACGCATTTAGCTTTCGCATCGCACTTGCTTTCGCAACGCAATACAGAGTAACCCCCCAGATTTGCAGGAGTTCGCTATTGATGATCTTTGACATATTGAATGCCTTCAATGCACCTGAAGTGTTAGTGTTGTTCTTGTAGCAGTCCTATTGCTTTTACACAATGGGCTGAGGTGACAGACTTTGGCCAAGTAGGACTAAGACTCAGGTCGTTTCGGATCGTAGATTTTATACAATGGGCTGAGGTGACAGACGTTTACCGAGAATGGCGCGAGACATCACTATGGGATGGTTGAAACGCAGGAGGATACGTTATTGCATCTGTAGGCGCATAGTTGTTACATCGAGTTCGCTATCGACGATCTTTTGGCTTCCGATGTAATAACGTATTGGATTCCCTCACGATAATACCTGAAGTCCTGACGGAAGTGTCGTGGAGGCAGATTAGCCATCACTTTATGATAATTGGAATGAAGATGGATGTTGGTTCAGTACGTTATTGGCTTCGGAGACTTATTGTAGTCGATATTTTGATGTCGGATAAAATTACGTCAGGGATGTCTTCATGTTAACATCTGAAGCCTGACGGAAGTGGATTTACAATCACTGGATGATGGTTGGACAGAATCCCGGTCTCCTCATGGAGTTGATCGACGCTCATCAACACAACCCGTTGCAATTCGGTGTGTTGTTTAAGAAGGAATTCCAATCAGGAGGTTGCATAATAAGGGAAGGTACTTATTCGTCCTTACCAATGTTTTCTTATATTTGCCTTAGAAGGTGTCAGACCAAGCTGATGGTATCAACGCGCAAGACGTCTAGTAGACTCGGACCAACTGTGGAACTTGAGAACTACAGCTTCGAGGTAGTTAAAGTCTTTATAAAGTCTTGATACTGCCATAAATAAAACGAATGACATCAGTTTTGAAATTCGGAGAAGGATTGTGATGGCCAACAGATGCTACTATGGTCTAAGTAAGCAGTTTAGAAACAAGGCCACTTCCCGCCAGACCAAACTCACACTTTACAAGACGCTGATACTACCCGTGCTATTATATGGATCGGAAGCATGGGTACTTGCGCAAGCAGATGAGGCAGCACTTGGGGTGTTTGAGAGAAAAATTCTCCGAAAGATCTACGGGCCGATCTGCGTCGACGGTGAATATTGGCGTCGAATGGACCACGAGCGTTACAATTTATACGCGGACATCGACATAGTCAGTCGTATTGAGCTGCAGCGACTACGGTGGCTAGGCCATGTTGTGCGGAATTAAATGGAAAGACCAAGTAGAAGACAACATCTTGGAACGTGGTCTTCCAAATTGGTGGATTTGCGCACAAGACCGACGCGATTAGAAATCGTTTTTTAAGCTCGGCTTATGGAACAACCGTTCTGTAACAAGCCAGCTAAGTAAGTAAGGTGTCAGCCAGAGCTTTTAGAACTTTGTTCCTTTCAATTGCATTCTGGGGGGTTACTCTGTATTGCGATGCGTAAGAAAAATTGTATCGCATGGCATAATTGTTACTCTCTAATTTGTTTTCGTATCTCCTTTCGCATCTTCTTTACGCAAATGTGGCATCACCGCAATCTGTAATACGAAAACGCATGTCAAACTCGTTCTTTAAACGCAAATGTCTTGCGTTAACAAAATAGCAAACGCAAATGAAGCGAAACGTGTAAGTAAGCACAATTAAAGGTTTTATTTATATTTACAGTTTTTTAAATCATCAGTTGCAGACTCAGCATCGTAAGTTCCAAACTTTTTTTTTATGGTGCAACACAGCGATTTGGCAAAGGGACAGTTGCAGAGTTCAAATGCGAAACAACGCGCCAACAATTTGTAGACAAAACTAGATGATGACCTTAATTCAAATGGACCTCCTGTAAGAGATGTCGCTGGTTGGAAAAAATAATATATATGTATTAATATATATATATATATATATAAAAGAGTTGCGTTATAAGTGACTGACTTATCATCAACGACGAAACGGCTAAGGCAAGAAACTTGAAATTTGGCATGTAGGTCGGTTTTGGTAGGCGTGTGATAAGGTGGGGTTTTTGGAAATTCGTACTAATAGGTATTACTATATTACGGGGGAATGGTAGACGAGAACATCTAAAATTTGGTACGTAGCTTTGGCTATGACGAACAAAGTGAAATGTGTAAAAAAATTTTGAAATTTAGTACTAAAAAGTACTAAACATTATATTTGAATGGAATAGGTAGATGTACCTTAAGCTATTAAAAATAGAATGATGGACAAATATATTTTATGGAAATTAGTACTAAGATGTACTAAATAGTACTAAAAACTTTATTATGCCGGAACGGTTGGAACTACAACTCTGAAATTTGATATGCAGCGTCGTCAATGATAAACAAATCAGAAAGTGCGAACAAATTTTGGAAATTAGTACTAAATATTATACTACGATGGAACAGGTAGAGATAGATATCTGAAATGTGGTATGTAACTTAAGCTATTACAAATAAAATAATGTACAAACATATATTTTTGAAATTAGTACTAGAATATATTAAAAGTTATAAAATGT